CGAAAACCGACTTTCTATGAAAAAAATTCATAACGTTAATTAAGCTTTTTTTTCTTTCAGGAAACCTAAGTTATAGCATCGTTTTCGATTCGTCTGAGAGTGAGTTATGCCGAGTCTTCGTTTCTTGGTGCTGACCAGGAGAAACGCAGGCTCTGGGAACGAGATTGTATACTGGCTGTTTGTGTGCGCGCACATCGCGGGCTAAATTGACTGTTTCACATCCTGTTTTGCCTGTTTCATATCTGTTTCATATCCTGTTTCATGCCTGTTTCATATCCTGTTTCACATCCTGTTTTGCCTGTTTCACTGACATCCTGTTTTGCTTGTTTCATATCCTGTTTCACATCCTGTTTTGCTTGTTTCATATCCTCCATTCTAAGTACCGGAAATAGAACACCAAATTAACATAATAGATATCCCACAATCCCTAAAAATTGCCACCACTCCCTTTGTGCACATTCGTTCCAACGACTTGAAGAATATTCGTGACCCACCCACCAACTTCATAGCATGACGCGTGTGCGCCGCATTTGCGGCTATTCCATATCTCATTGTATATTCATGTGTATTGTTGGTACTCGGAGTATATAACAAGTTAATATTTTACCTTAACTGAATTTTTGCGTAATAAATATTTAATAATATATAACACGGCTAGATATTCAAAATGCGTCCAACTTGGAAAGGATTGACAGAGTGTTAAGTCATCAGTGACACAGTTTGCTGGTCATAGCAAGGGGTTAACCATCTCATCTTCGGTCTTGGGACCGACTAACCTCTCCCTAAGGCTTCGGCCGAGCTTCCTGATCAGTTTGTGATTTTGACCAATTTCCCTTCATTCAGTTGATACGGGCAACAAGCTGTTTCGTTTTTGTTTTTGAAAGCTTCTTAAAGGCGTGAGACTCGACACACCTCAGTCGAGCAGTCTTCGCCGACTTCAACCATCTTGACAAGTTCTACGTGAACTTGACGCACAGCAGTATGTCTGAATCTTCGGCAGCAAGCATCGACTTTCGTTCTTAGAAACTGATAACTATCGCGTCCCTTCATGTCTATATGTTCATGGCAGGTACGGCTGAACTTGATTCATACGAATACAGCATCGAATCTTCTTGAAAATCTTTTTCATTTTCTGTCTAATGTCTTGCTTGGTGAACGAATAGATGAATGGATTGGCCAAAGAAGAAAGCACCATCCCTGCGAGGGATATGAGAAGACTTAATCTGGTCTTGGAGCCGGGAAGTTTGTATTTTCCAATTTTTTCACTAGTCTCGGAAATAATAAAAGGAATTGTGCTTAAGAAGTAAAGCAATGTTACCAAAGCGAACATTTTAAAGATTTTCGCMTCTCGTTTTTTTCTCCTCTGAAAAACTATTTGATTTCGGCCCTGTGCCATATTCTCGCAGACTCGTCTCTGTTTGGCCAAACTTACAAACATATATAGATAAGAAAAGATGAGGATAACAAGAGGAACAATGACAAATAATATTACTAAAGCTAGAAAAAATGGCTTCAGTAGTGACTGAGAGATGTCTGAAAGTCGAACGAAAACCAATGAACTTGACAAGAAGGAAGAAAGCCACACAACTGGTATAATGATACAAAAATACTTCTTGATTCGTGTTTTGTACTGGAATGGCTTCACCACGGCCAAATACCGTTCGTATGTCACAGCACATAGATTACCAAACTCAGCAAGGGATGCAAAAGTTAATACAAATGTGGTCCATGCTCTGGTAATCTCGCTGCCTTCCACTAATCCTATGTATGCGAACAATAACGCTGTGATCAAAAAGTCGGAAACAGCCAGAGACAGAACGAAGCCATTGACAAAAGTGCGAAGCCGTTTAGAAGATATTACCAGCACAATCACCAAAATGTTCGACAGAGAACCAAGAATTGAAAATACAAAGATACAAAAACCAATAATAAAYTGGGATTTCCCAAATCGGTCTTCTAATTCTTTCAGGTCGTACATTACTTTTGTATACGTTGTATGTAAAATTTGAATCAACTACTTGAAGAGAAAAAAATCCAGTGCGACAATGAAAAAAAGAATCTTTGCCGCAGCTTACAATGCTATACGGCAGTAGCTACAAKGCAGTGCTACTCTCTGTAATGAGTTGAAAAAATGGTTTAAAAACCTTAGCTTTGCATTTAAGTAGTACCTATGTCCAAAGTCAAGCCAATATTAAGGTAGCCTGTTCTTTACCAAAGACTTTTCTTAAGAGATAGGTAAAGTACATGTATCGTATCTTGCCCTGTTAGACCGACATGCTGATTGGTTGATGATCAGTTTCTTGGTATTTGATTGGTCTAGGGAGGAAGCTATTTGTTTGTCATGGTAACACATTTCCCACTTAGCTCTAGTACGAACGGCAGTTAACTAAAAGCTTCGTGCGTTTAGTACAAATGCTTCGGATAAGTACAATTTGTAAAGATCTTAAAAGAAACCAAAAAAACAACAATGACGTACACCATAAAATGGAACTCAGAGAACAGCTGACGGTGCAACATGACAGCCACACAGCGAAAAGCAAGGCAAACGTAGTATTTCGACAAAAAAAGCGTAACAAAATATAAGAAATTATAAGATATTTTCATTCAATTGTCTCACGATTGGGGGTCATTGTACAAGGAACGCGAACGTTTCGATCAGGCGACGAGTGTGTTATCTAMCGTTCGTCGGATCAACTGTGCTGTGATTGGTTTATCGGTTTATGCTGTGATTGGCTGTTTGGTCGTTGTTGGGTCGTTCAAGCTTCAGTGATTTCTATACCTCTGCCTCTATTGATGCTATTAGCGTGGAGTGGGATCTCAATAGCTTCCTTGACTCAATAGCTTCCTTTTTTTCAACTTTCGATAAGAGCAATAGAAAAAATCGATCAACACCATTGGACAGAGCACCTCAAATTCAGTAAATTTGCCTCTCAGTAAAGTTAGAGGTTGATAGGTTAGAAAATGGCAACGATCTAGCTCCGTAAATTTCTGAAATTTTACAGACGTTTGAATGGTGGGGATAAGTTTGTGCCCTCCACCGTACAAACGTCCGTAGAATTTCGTGAGTTTRCATGGCCATATCTTCGCCTGCTTCCAATATATCACTCTCAAACCTGGTAAAYTTTCTAAGTTTGAGGTGCTTTTTCCAGCATTATCGATGGATTTTTGGTAACTAGTCTATGCAAAAAGTTGAAAAAACCGTGGTCTATGTGTCACGATCTATACATTTAACATCCTCCCAGCCAGGGAAATTGTCCGGACTTGTGAAATAYTTAATATTGAGAGAGTGACTGTCTCATTTACGGCAAACGTGAGTTGACAAGCGAAAAATTCTTGAATTAGTGAAAAGAATCGCAAAAATCTCCAACTTGTAGATAAATAAAAGAATACTTTGGTGACTACAAGATTTGCAAATGCAGGGAAACGATGAAAACTTGGTCATGTCTGCCGGTCCCACATTTTACACTGAGGAATGTTCTTAAAAATCACTTTGATTTGTTGCCTGAAATCTTGCTTGCTAAAAGTGTAGATGAATGGATTGGCGAGAGAAGACAGAACGATACCAAAATACGATAAAAAAAGAGCAAAACTTGTCGTACAACCTGGCAAAGTGAAATTCCTGATTTCTCCAACACTTTCGTGTAGAAGTCCTGGTATTGTACTAAAAATGTACAACGAGGCCACAACAGCAAACATTTTGACAAGTTTCACTTCTCGTTTCTTTCGCTGGTGAAGAACATGAGGATGGATTGACCCAAGAGTGTGTATAGTTTTTTTTTGTTTGACTAAACTTACAAAGATATAATGATAAAAAATAATGATGATGAATAGAGGAAGGAGTACAAAGATTAATAATGTTGGTATCACRATCATTTTCTTTACAGACTTCTTAAGATCGGCGTAATGTAAAAATACGATTAAACTAACCAAGAAGGAAGAAAGCCACACAACTGGTATAATGATACAAAAATACTTCTTGATCCGTGTTTTGTACTGGAATGGCTTCACCACGGCCAAATACCGCTCGTATGTCGCAGCACATAGATTACCAAGCTCAGACATCGAAGCAGAAGCTAAAAAATATTTGTACAACGTTGTTGCTATCTTAATATGCTGTTTTTCCCAGCTGAAGAACACAAACGGAAAAGCGACACAAATGTTGATTAAAATATCTGAGGCAGCGAGAGAGACAAGAAAGCCGTTCACATAGGTACGAAGGCGTTTTGAAGTTAGTACAAGAATAATTACCAAAGCATTTGCCAGAATAGCCAACACAGAAAATACGAATATACATGTTAGGATGATCTGTTCGTTTTCTCTTGACTCGTTAGCCATCTATGTTTGCTTTTCAGTTTGGGGTGTTTTTTTTAACGATTCTTGAATTGTCACAGTCGGAGAACTAGCTGTACAAGAAGCGAGAAGAATATGGGTGGCTATATAAAGCTGAAGTCGGTCAAAAACCAGACTTTAAGCAAAAGTCTAGGCGTGGTCAGAAGAATAGCCCCCCGCATGTCATCATTCTCTTGAGAATAAGATTCTTTGTTTGAAAGCTTTTGAACTTTATCCATATTGATGGGACTTCTCATGCGCAACCACTAAACAAAGAAATGATACTCTAGGGAATGACACATGGTCTTGAGAATAAGATTCTTTGTTTGAGTTTTATCTATATTGATGGGACTTCTCATGCGCAATCGCTAAACAAAGAAATGATACTAAAGGAAATGACACATGGTCTTGAGAATAAGATTCTCCGTCCGAGTTGTATCCATATTGATGGGACTTTTCATGCGCAACCACTAAACAAAGAAATGATACTCTAGGGAATGACACATRGTCTTGAGAATAAGATTCTTTGTTTGAGTTTTATCTATATTGATGGGACTTCTCATGCGCAATCGCTAAACAAAGAAATGATACTAAAGGGAATGACACATGTTCTTGAGAATAAGACTCTTCGTACGAGTTGTATCCATAATGTTGTGACTTCTCATGCGCAACCACTAAACAAAGAAAAAGGTCTTTTGTTGTTAAAAACTRTTACTTTATTTTTCAAAGACGATCCAAAGAAAAAAAAAGATTTGATTGCCAGGTGATGCTTTAGGTAAGTAAAACAATGGACTTCCAGAAAAAAGAAAAAAATATGTTAAAAAAAGTTAATAGATTAGCAGAAGTAGTTCAATACTGTTTGTTCAGTGTACTGTTTTGTCAGACGGAAATATTGTGCAACAAACATCTTGATGTTAACCACCTATTACACGTAATCTTTCTTTTTTAGCCATTCCGAGATTGAGGGGAAAAAACTGGGTTGAGATTGCATTACAATGCAAAGTGGGACTGTTTAAAAGGAGGTTTATATCCTACCGATAATGGATTCGTTCTTGCCATGCATGCAAAAAAAAACATGCTGGGAAAATGAAAATACAAGTGAACCTTGTATCCTGTTTACAGGAGAATGCTTCAACCCATTATCTTATTTTGTCTTAATCTTATTAACTCTCCYCATGAATTGCTCCTTCAAGGAACTTGGTCAATATTCACAGAGTTGAATAAAATATAGACGAATAGTGAAGGTTGTTGAAGACTTGGTCATCGCGAAGCTGTTGTTTTAGCCGTTGATTGTACCTCTGGGAATACGTCTTTATCGACAAAGCCTTTGATAATGTACGGACGAGCTAAGCTAAAGACGYGAAAAAAATAATTCGTGTCCCATTAGGAGCAAGATTTTCAGATCACATTGAGGTCTATAATTGTTTGAAAGAAGCGGAAACGAACTGACCACAATATATGGATTTTTCTTTATCATTTAACTATACCGAGAGCCCTTTTCGGTACTTAAAGWCCACCTGAATCCTGCGACTTGCTTTCACGGATCCTTAACATACTTAACTAAATATAGACTTCAAACTGAACTATAGGACACAAGAGAGACCTGACCAAGTGATCATTTACTCCGAACCAATTAGTCAGCACTCTTCAAGCAAAATGGTAGAATTAGTGCTAAGCACTAGAAAATACATTTTACTATTCTGTCAAACTTTAAAAATCAATTAATAGCTGTGAATGAGTGCACTCTAAAACTACTTGTGCGGTATCGAGGGACGACTTAAATATCTAAGTGCCCAACATTCTGTAGAATTGCTGAATTGTGAACTAGACATTCGACGGAACACATTCAAGTGAGAGTTCAATATGCAGCGTTTTTCAATGGGTGTTAATTTTCCACAAATCGTAGTTCCTGAAGATGTAGGAAGAAAGACAAGTGACATCGAAGATGGTTGGCAGTGTCAAGGACAGTCGCTGAAGCTGTGTCACCGTACTGGAGTCGGCAACACACAACAGGTTAGACACTACCAGTAATCGTATCCCACTAGCTCACTAGCTAGAAAATATTTTTTTTWACTTAATAGTATAGATGGCATGTATAAGAAATATTTAAGAATTTTTTTACTGGTTTTCTGCAATTTTAAGATATTTACTGTAGCAATAGAAAAGTAACTCTTCAGACAAAGCCATCCACAGAAATATTTTGTAGAAAGCGATTAACAAATATTACAAAAAATTTAAACATTTTGAAATTCAAAAAATGTTTAACACCAACTGGAAAATTTCAAAATATAGAACACCAGATGAAGTCAGACTATTGAAATTATCTTGCAGGACTATTTTTTGTGTTTGTGTAAGATTTTGTACTATATTTTCGTCAGTTTTGAGTCTTATTTATAAAAAAAATTGCAATCATTGTACACAAGAAGTTAGTAGTAGAATCATTTACCRCAAATTTCAAGAGAAAATTGTTGAAAAAATGGCATTTCTTGCTCTAGTTTTTTAGCATTTATTTACACGAATATGGAATGTTTTTAATTTAGAAAGAGCTGAGTTTTGCAGGGCCTCGGTCAATACTAACATAAAAAGATTGTCGGCAAAAATTAGTAAAATACAATAGTTATACCAAGAAAAATTACCGGCAATTTCCAGGAATTAAAGTAGCTTAATACAAATCCTTAAGCATTGTAAGCAATCATTTTTTTCGATTAAAAGAAAGGTATTAGGAAGGAATTTTCTTTTGAAATTTAAGTAACGGTTTCCTTTCATAAAAGCAGTCCTGAAAACCGCCTACTATTGTACTAGATTCCTTGACGTAATTTCCCGTTTATTAACGACATAATTTCATTATTGTTTAATTGACAATTCTTTTGATTGTTTTTTATTCTATAAATAAAAAAGTAAGCAAAGTTAACGACCTATGAAAGGAAGTATTTCCTAGATTTCTCTCGCTGTTTGGTTTACGTTGTCATGGCGATTAGGTCTATYGATAGACTTGATTCTGACAGGAGATTTCGAGTTCGCTTGATTCAATTTGCAGGTTTAGTTGTTCCGGAGTTAAAATGAAGCTTAAAACATTAAAGATTGAATTCATACTTTGATTAAATACCAAAATCAATCTGTTTTAGTTTTGCTAAGGAAAACTAATTTTACGCATGCTCGAAATTCTCCCCATTTTTGCTTTTATTTTAATTTTTACTGAAAAATGAGGTTCGAATAAAAAATGTACGGAAAATTAAAAAAAACTTCGCTCCATTAATATTATCGATGTTTTTTTTTTGTCCAGGTTAGAAAACCGTCAACTTCTTATGCATCTTTGCTTGCACCCTCTCCTCGGCGAAGAAGACGATCGTCAACAAACAGCAGCACAGGAATACAAAATTCGTACTCTCCATCAGGACATATTAATAACTCTACCGACTCAGACAGAAAAATACAATCGCGAAGTTCCGATGAGATTCCGAGAACGAACGACGGAAAAACGACAGATGGCGACAAGCTACCGAAAATTTTAACAGAAGCAGAAGAGACGAAAAACTTGACAAGAACTCGAAAAAACAAAAAGAAAAGGAAAAAATCTCAACTACKTAACAACGCAGCAAACAATAAACGGAATCAAGCTTCAACTGTTGAACTTAAAAAAGAAAATGACGACGAGCTTAAATACGGRCTGGATTTAACAAGGAATTGTATACCAGGTAACGATAGGTCGATATAAATCGTCTGTCACGTGATCAATATCCACCATATTGGATTTCAAGAAGAYGAATCTAAAAATATGAACAATACGATTCTGAGTTTGGTCTCATTTCAAATAAATGGCGGCAAACTGATCACGTGACCTTAGAGTGTCATTGGCTTGCAAAACGTTATTAGCTTTTTTCAAAGCAAAAACGTAAGTTTATGTTTTTTAAATATAAACGCAATTTACTACGGATCAAAATGGAGTATATTTTAAGAATGGCAAGTTTATTTCAAATTTTTTTCGCCGTCTACAGCGAGTTCATAGCGATGTTCCTAAACTAAGGTTCCTTTGTTTCAGGTCTGGATATAACAAGACCCTACACATATTCCTACTTTCCCAAGATCAAGGAAAATAAAAAACACAGTCAAACAAGTGGCAAAAAAAGCACTTCATCGAGGTTAATAGTAATGCGAAAATTTTTAGTAAGTTGATTTATGGCGCTGCCGAGAAAATTCTTAGAAACACAAGCGATATTTCACTGTAAAAACTATCAAGAACTTCCTTAATCACCGATTATCTTTTATTATTTTACAAACACATTTCGTTAACTTTTATTATCTTAGAAACACACTTTGTTAACTTACATACTCTTTCCCTCTTTTGGATATTTAAAATATGAAATATTGAACGCTATTTTAGTTTTGTTTAGATATTAGAAACGTTTGAAGATAAGCCAGTCACGAGATGGCGGAAAAGGGCCACGTGATCAAAGTAGGCGGGAAAATGTCACGTGATCTGAGTTGGAGGAAGTGTCACGTGATCTGGAGTAGCGGGAAAAGAGTCAGGTGATCCGCTGGTATGTTTCATTTGACTGGAGATTTATCGTGTTTCCGCTGTCCGTTCTAACAGCTTTAGATTATTTGTAGTGGAAAAATAAAAACGTCTATTTTATCTTGCAATGCTTTGCGTTCTTTCTTTGTATTGATTTTAATAATTTAGACACGATATTTAGTATTATATACCTTCAGTAGATGCACCTAATATTTTAAGAATTTGTCAGTTTATCACACGGGAATGTACCAAGAGTATCAATAATGTTACCTAGTGTGCCTAGAGAGGAATGTTGCCATGTTTCTTCCAAGGATTCTTTCGTTCTTTTGTGGCCAGCACCTCGAGGTCAGCGCAAATCCTCTTTCGTGTCATGCGCGGCACAATGATGTCATCAACGAAACCTGTGGGAAATGAACTAATAAAGTTATTTTTCATTCTTTCGTTCAATGATTTATTTTTCTTTCATTCGTTCATACTTCACTAGCCAATCTGCTGTGTTTCGATGTAACCATTTATTTTTCGACTCACCCATTCTCTCATTCATTCACTGACCTAAACATTCATTCATTCGTTTTCTTGTTCATACTTGCCATCAAAAATCAGCTCACAGTAATAACGTACCTCTAGTTGCAGCAGGAAATGGATTTGCAAAACGATCGACATACTCGTCCTCGTATTTCTCTGCAGAAAATCGAGGAAGAAATATAAAACGCTGTAAAAGGAGTATCCGGCAATGTCATGAAGGGGAAAGGTACTTACTTATGTCTTGTTTTCCACGGAATATGATGGAAACAGCTCCCTGATCAGAAAAGATAATATAAACATCGTGAGTGTTGTGAATCTTTTGATAAGCAGTGTCTTATTATTCGTAGTCATCAAAACCATCATCATCACCAYTGATGATCATCTTTATCATCAGCACTACCATCATCTCCGTCACCACCACCAACAGCGACGACAGCAGCAACTACAGCAACAGCAACAGTAACAACAGCAACAGTAACAACAGCGACAGTAACAGCAACAACAACAGCAACAACAGCAGCAACAACAAGAGCAACAGCAACA